TGACGGCTGATTTTGACGTTCTCTCACGCGTCGCCCAAGAACGTCCCAGACATGCCCAATCGGTGACAAATCAGGTGATTGAGATGGCCAATCTAACACCTGTTCGTTATTCTGCTGCAAGAAAGTTCTGCTGACGCGACTGGTGTGCGCTGGTGCGTTATTCTGTTGAAAAATAGCGCCAACGCCATGGCGTCTTAAGAATAGCAGAACCACTGGTCTTAAAATTTCATCCCGATATCGAATGCCGGTTAAATTGCCATTTAACACAACAAGCCTTGTACGAGTCCCCCCACAAATACCACCCCAAACCATTACACTTCCGCCGCCAAAGCGGTCCCGTTCTGCGACGCAGCAGTTCGCAAAACGCTCCCCGCGTCGCCTCCACACTCTGCGCCTTCCGTCACCGTGTTGCAGACAAAACCTGGACTCATCTGAAAACAGAACATTGTTCCATTGTCGTAAGGCCCAACGACGGTGAACACGGGTCCAGTTACGCCGATTATTACGGTGACGTCGCAACAAATTGGGTCCAGTGTAGGGACGCCGCGCTTTCAATTGGTAGGCCCTCAACCTGATGCGGACTGTTTGGGGAGACACACGACGCCCAAACAATGTCCTTGTAGTCTCTACTGCGGTTACGAGTCGATTGCGCATGTGTACCAATCGTATCCGACGGTCATCCCTGGCGGTCGTTTTACGGGGTCGGCCGCTTCGGGGGACGATCGGATGTTGACCCAGTTTGGTTTAAACGACTTACCAACTGGCAAATTGTCTTAACACTGCAACCAGAATGCCGTGCAACTCGACGGCGAGGCTCCCCAGCCTGGATCATGCCTACAGCCCTTCCTCTCTATACTTGTGACAGCCGGGGCATAATGATAAAGTTGATGGATAGCAAGATTAGGTGATTTCTAAGTCCTAAGGATCTAAGGAACAGTTGTCAGTTTGAATGTTCATGAAATTCAAGCGAAGATACAAGTTAGTCGCAGAAAACCTCGTGCAGCTCTTTCGCTAATACAGACTTTCACGCTTGAATAATTTTGGTAACCCCCTTGTATTTTGTAATGTAAAACATTACCATTTTCTAATATTGCACAAACGTCATTTTGTTTTCACAAAGATTTTATTCACACACGTCGAGGAACAAATTACTGAAGAGCGAGCTGTGAAGAATGATTGTCTCAGTCAACGACACTCCATCGCCATCAAGTATGACAGCACAAGGGAAATTAATTAAAGTAATTTACTAAACCTGTCATTATTATAAATCTACAGGTAAATCTATTGTATTGATAAACAAAAAACATCCAGAGAAACTGAAGATAAAGGTTGTCATGTTTTCAAACGTAAAACATCGCAATATTTCAACATCGTGTATTCCGTTATTATGTTATATAATGTGGAAGTAGTTTTCTCTTCAATTTCTTGTGTTATATTGTAAAAGCTTGTGATTATTTCTCTACAGATATACCTCAGCTCAAGTTGTTGTTATGGAGGGGACAAACAAATCAAAATGGTTATCATAAGATATCTTCATATCAGAACAAAAGTCATAATTTCTAAAAATACAAGCAGCACACTAACACGGGTCTGATTGAGCGTTTACCTCGGACACCTGGTACATTATAGGTATACCTAACAAACTAAATTAACGATATAAAGTCCAAAGTGTTGAACAGGTATCATCAGATTATGACAAAGTTATACAGATATTAAACACAAAATACCATACTTTACCAGACATAAAAGGTCAAGAGTTGTCTCCCATTTACCACAAATTCTTATCTTAACCAATTTGCATGACAAATAGTTTTATAGGTTACTGCTGTTTCCAGTCATTTATGTCACAAAACAATAGCTTTAAAAAATTACATCCAAGCCGGACATCATACCGGACATCATACCATAGAATACCATATTTTTATAATTTGAAAAAGGTTTCATACATTCAGATATGACATCATACCATAAAATACCATATTGTTACAATTTGATAAAGGTTACATACATTCAGATATGACATCATACCATAAAATATCATATTGTTACAAATTGATAAAGGTTTCATACATTCAGATATGACATCATACCATAAAATATCATATTGTTACAATTTGATAAAGGTTACATACATTCAGATATGACATCATACCATAAAATATCATATTGTTACAATTTGATAAAGGTTACATACATTCAGATATGACATCATACCATAAAATATATTGTTACAATTTGATAAAGGTTACATACATTCAGATATGACATCATACCATAAAATATCATATTGTTACAATTTGATAAAGGTAACATATATTCAAGTCTGACAGCATACCATAGAATATCAAGTTTTTATGACAAACTTTTAATTGTTTCCTATAATTTTCTTTACTCTGTGATTTCAAACCTTTTCACAAACACCATATTTATTGGGATGTACGAACTGTTGACCTTTTTACACGATGTGTTAAAGTACAAAATGTTCACAATTACCAGATTTATGGTGAATTAAATACTTTAGACCTTTTAACATAATATGTGACAGCAAAGAATATTAAAAGCACCCGATTTATTGGGATTTACGTACTGTAGACCTTTTTACATGACATGTGAAAGTACAGAATGTTAAAAGCACCATATCTATGGGGAGTAAAATACTTGAGACCTGTTTACATGATCTTTGAAAGTACGAAATGTTGACAAACATCAGATTTATTGAGAGTTAAATACTGTAGGCTTTGTACATAGATCGTTTTGTGGATTGTAGCCATACATGTCTTTTACACAAACCTGAATATCTATGTAAGTACGTTATATAGCTTTGTTAGTGTGAAATTTTACGTTAAGGCTTGGAATGTGTGATATATATATGAGCTAGGCATGCCTTTAGTGAAGTCACAGTTTGAATGCTTGCTGTATAAATATTTAGAATTTTCTAAGCCATATAGCCAATAAATATACCGGAATCCTTCTGCATAGGTATGAACACTATTATGTATTTGCTAAAGTTTGGCAACGAATGCAACTGAATGCAACATACGTTCTTCTTAAAAGAGCAAGAAAGTTGTTTTCAGATGGTCAAAGAGAGGTCTAAGGCTCACGGTTATCTCCGAACCAACGGAAGTGGTGTCTGTATATTATTTCACCTCACAGTAAAGGCCTGGTGATTGTGTGTTATTTTCTATCACTAATCAAATCTCTTTCAAATTATAGGTGGTTCTTTGTTGACAAGAATATTTAGAGCTTTTAACAGGAAAGGTACCACGGTGTAGATGGTAGGATTTGATCATTTGTATGGCTTTATTAAGTTGTATATATATAAAACGTATATAATAAAAAAAAATTGTCACCTGTGTATGGTCATGTGTTACGATTATAGGATCAGTGTTTCATTTTCAGAAGGGGATATAGGACTATATGTTCAAATTGTTAGCATATCGTTAGAGTGATCTCACCGGGTAATATTCTATTGCCTTGTGCATTATGAAGCTGGAGACGTGTTTGATGCTTGTAAGTATGCCCACTGGTTCCGTTGTTGTTGAACTCTTTCTCATTTGGGAATGTGACACAATTTACTTGGACTGACCTACGTTGAAATGGTAAGAATATCAGGCCTTATTCTCCTTGTACTTTTTCAGGAAGCTCCTAATAAATCTTGTCTCACGGTATAATGTTTTGAATATAAATGCTGATGAAATATCCACCTCTACTATTGTTATTTTTGTATTACTATATAGTGATGTTTTATTGATTTACAGACTATAAAATCTACTAATTGTTTTCTGAAATTACCAGATATGTGAAAAGTGCACCAATTATTGTATTATAGGACTAGTGCACCTGTCCGTCTACATTTGATATTTCTTTCGATAAATTTTACTAGGTTTCTCTTTTTTCTTTAACATCACTAACGAATCCTACTAAGAACAAACAGTTATAGAATACAGTTTATTTCATTATTTGCTGTTTATCTTGTTTTCATTTGGAATGTGACACTATGTACTTGGAATGATGAAGATTTACATGGCGGATGTCGTGGATGAAGCAGAAGACACTTACTCTTCCATAACATCTGGTCTTATCCTCCGCATACTGTTTTCAAAATTGTTAATATTTTGCACCTGGTTTCAACTACTTTGTGTTGTTTTATTTCTTTTTTACTTTTTGACTCTAATCTATGTATCTAATTATAACAGGCATTAATCACCCGTGTCTTTTATGTAATCACCGTATCTGTCACTGCCAATACTTATACCACATGTGACAACATTACTAGAATAGTGATTTTCGATTTGGATTAAAGTTTGTAGGACCCATGTCACATCTTAGACTAGCTTACTATTTAGGTTCACCTTTGTCATCAGCTTGCGTCAGATAAAGGAGAGATTTAATATTTCGGACCTACATATTCAATGAAAGTAATTGTCAAGTTAGTATTTGAACCTTTTGAAGTAGGTGCGGCACAATAATATATTGATAGTGGTTTTCCATTACAGCCCCCACTTATTGATTCATCTGCCCTATCTGTGTTGCCGGGGTACGAACCCAGTCTTCTATAGATAAAATACTTGGCAAAATTAGTAGTGAACTTTAGGCATGTAAATATTGCAATTGATTTTGAAATTGAAATTAAATGATAAATTTTTGAACTTGACGAACAGATTACTGTCTGCTTTAATCTATATAATGATATTAATCTGCCACAAGGTTTATAATAATTGAATTGATATATTTTACATGTCAATTTGTGATAGTTGTTCAGTTAAGCTGACTATACTTGTACAATTATGGTTTTATATTAATGTCGTAACTCTTTCTTAAGAGTCAAAATAGGAAGACAGAGGAGGGTAATGGGCGTCATACTCAATATTGCCAGACTATGGTTCTCTTAAATAAATCGACAAGGCGATAGATGCTTTAGTTTAACTGTATCTGTAGACCAAGACACCAGTGGTTGTGTTCCTGAGATGTTTTGGTCTGTAAGTGTTGCCTTTATTCTTATGTCCATATCATGGACAAATGCGGATGTCACCGACGAACTCAGCAGCCCTCCAAATCCAACGCAAGGCAACGGTAGTTTAAATTTTCAACAAGACCTAAAACACGTTCAGTCGGAGTTACAAGATCTACAGGTAAAATACAATGTACAACAACAGGAAAACAGCCAACTTCATGTAACAGTCAATCAACTCTTAACCAGCTTGAATCAACTCCAAGCCACTGCAATTCAACTCCAAACGAATGTCGCCCAACTGCAGACTAGAATTTCTGGCCAGAATGCTACCACTTCTGACCTGGAGAACCTGTCGATGTCATCGACATTATTGCACGCCAGATTAGACTCCCTGGAGTCGAACTACAACACCAGTGTGCGAAGTCTCCATGCTTCTGTAGATCACATACAGGGCAAAGTAGATGAATTAGATGATTTCAGTATTGGTCTACAGACTACGTTATTACAATCAGAAGGTAAGTTTTAAAAATACAATTAAAAATGTAAGTCCGATAAACTATATTTGGTTTTATTCCTACCAATTAGATGCTAGTTTAATGTTTATTTATAATTTGGTTTTGTAATGACTTTCACTATTTAATGGACATTTTACATCACTATCAATGTACGGTCACTGTTCCCTAACAAAACTGTAATTTAATTGACATCTTACATCGCTATCAATGTAAGGCCACTGTTCCCTAACAAAACTGTACTTTAATGGACATCTTACATCGCTTTCAATGTACGGTCTCTGTTCCCTAACAACACTGTACTCTAATGGACATCTTACATCGCTATCAATGTACGCCCACTGCTCCCTGACAAAACTGTACTCTAATGGACATCTTACATCGCTATCAATGTACGCCCACTGCTCCCTGACAAAACTGTGCTTTAATGGACATCTTACATCGTTATCAATGTACGTCCACTGCTCCCTGATAAAACTGTACTCTAATGGACATCTTACATCGCTATCAATGTACGCCCACTGCTCCCTGACAACACTGTGCTTTAATGGACATCTTACATCGCTATCAATGTACGCCCACTGTTCCCTGACAAAACTGTACTTTCATTGATGTTGCCGATATGTTACGAATTATTACCAACCAATTTCTCATTTTTTGTTCTCTATTAATTCTATTTCGGTCTTTTCTAGATATTCAGGACAAAGCACTGATTGTCCAGGGTAATGTCACTGAGTTCTTGTGTGAACATTTCACGCACTCAAATGTCTCCGTGACTGGAAACGTAACTGCGGGTACGGCTGTGACCAGAGGTCGTGATTGGACTTACGGCGATCAGGTAAATAGCATTAAAATCTATTAGTAATTTCTGCAATGTAACAAATTGATTGCCTCGTTAAATTTAATGACCTTGTAAATTTCATTTAAACAACCATCATTCATATGATTTATATCATTATGTTTATATTGTGGAGAATTTATTTTAAGTTCGCTTACCTTATCTTTCTATTAATATTAATATATCTCTGTAATTACAAAAGCATAGCTAGATTTATCAAACAAATTGATTTGAGCGATCCACGTTTACTGAATAAGTGAACGTTAGTTCCTTGCCTAAACACGTTTCATGGAAATTATATAATCTAATTAAAATAAACATTTTCTATTATGTAATGTTTATATAAGTAGATAATTGAATGTATTGATCTTTTTTTAGGACGGGCATGATCACGTGAAGGGTGTAGTCATGGATAAAACCACGCCCCCTGGGTTGGTGTACGTGCTCTGGGACAACGGATGGGAAAACATATACAGGGTAGGATACGCTGGTGGCTATGATCTCTACTACTATTACCCTGATGTCCTCAGCAACTTCAGGCATGCGCTGTGTGTAAACTGATGAATTTACACAAGGCAACTCAGTCACCTGACCTGTAAATGCATTACATTTAATAAACGTGTTTGATTTTGTATGAACATAATATGATGAAATGACGATGTGTCCTGACACTGGTATGCCCAATCATAGACAACCAGTGCGTCATTGTGATCATCTCCTTTGACACTTACTAAACATATTTGGTTTGATATGAGGTTATGTTGGTTTGATATGATAGTAGTTTTACATCCTATCATTATAATAACATGAAACAACATCAACCACGGAACCTTTAACGATATTTGGTAAGTTATCAACTTGTTGCCATCATGTGTTCCCATCTTTCCTGTAAAAATGTCATTTTGAATATAAACATTTGCCAAATTAATATGTTAATTCTACACTTAATCATGTTTATATGTATTCGTTACACATAATACATACAGCGTGTAAACCATTTCCCCTGCTTTTTGTAATCTAAGGAAAAAGTAAAAGCTAAAAGTTTAGCGAAGGCAACAGGTGAACAATCGGAAGATGAAAAAGTAAACCACTGTACATTGTCCATAGAGAAACAGATAATGAATCCGGGACCCAGTTGCTCAAAGTTTGGTTAGAGTTAACTAGACTTCAGTGATATATTTTAGTTGTCACCTAAAAACAAAAAACAAAAAATTTCAATAAAACTGTGAAATGAAGAACTTGTTTGATTACAGAAATAAGGGTTTAACAACAACAACAAAGTAATTACTAGGTATATTGGCTGGAATTGAAAAAAAAAAGAAATTTCAGCCTTCACCGAAGACTTCATCAGCTAACATTTAAATCACTGTGTGGAAAGTTTATACGTCAGCTTTCTGTGGACAGTTTAACGGCTATCAAACTATTTTGCACAGGATTATATAATCGACTGATATATATAAACACCGTAAGTTTGAAAAAGCAAGACTGTTTATTTCTAGATATGAAATGAGAAACAAACACGACATTGGCCATCTTGAATTATGAATGCTGAGTATGCTATCAGTATGACTGGAAAAGCGCAGGAAAGAAAGGATATTTCTGAAGCTTGACGTGTAGGTTTTTATCGATCCCTAGCTCTTCTCATTTAATTTTTCTGATCTGGTGAGCTAATTCGCCAAAAAAGTCCAGTTTTGATTTGACAGTTTGAGATAATTATCGGTATTCTTTTAGAAGTTCTGAAGAGTTTTTTTTTCATATTTCATGTATATTTCTCCTTTGGTCCCAGCTTTACTTTTTTATTTTGGGAAGAAGGATGGCTGTTAGTCGGACATTTTATATTTTGACCATGAAAATTTGTTACCGATGTTTTTTGAGAAACGCTTGATGAATCTTCCTCAAAGTCCACATGTATGCTCCCATTTGTCCGTAGTTGTGCAAACTTGATCTTGGGACTGAACAGAAGTACAATGGCTTACAAGCGAGACCACATTTGATTTGACTTTTAATGATAATTATTGCTATTTCTCTTGAAGAATTCTCAAAGTTCATATAATTAAGAGACAATAAGTGAACAGAAGGGAAAAGAAGGAAGAAGGAAAATTATTCAACTTTTAAATAACAGTGGAAGATCAAACAATGATGGAAATAGATTCTTCTTGTTGTATATCAAGATATCTTTTTAACAAAACCTTAAGTTTGTTTGTTTCAACAGAAAAACAAAATTCTGAAAACAACAACCAAAATCTTTAATATTAATATCTAAATATGTCACAACATACAATATATCACATATATAGAAATATATCTATTTATATCAATATAACTTTCCCTCATTTTACCGTCAGGGTTATCTATTAAACGCTGATGAGATACGACTTCAGTTTGTTATTGCGAAATAGGTCAGCAAATCCCTATACAGTATTTATAATCTAAAAGTAATCTACAGCCTTCATCTTCTAAAATACTTTGATATAAATGAGGCTTAAAACACTGCTGAGGTAATCATTGACGAATTGGGAAATGTTTATAAAATCTATAGTATGTAGAACTAAAACGACAAAGTTTTGGTTGCAGTAATCCGGTATTGCTGTAAACACGTCTGCATTGAAAAATCCGTTCCTTGACATCCTGAAATCATTTATAGAAGGATGCACTTCGCAGAGGCACTTCCCCAGAGAGGGCATGTCTTAAACACAGTGGGATACAAAAGCGATACACACAAGCAGATCAGATTCAATCAAATCACGACTGTATCAAATTTCACTTCTTTTTTTTTTCATTATCACGTTTATAAGCCGTATTGCTGAAATAAAATACAGATACCATCTGTCACATTTACGATTGTTCTTCCTAGATATAAGTAGTATGTACATGTAAATTATAACCAATAAAATTGTACTCCTATTATGTTTGATATTCAAATAGGAAGGAAGCAGTAACAGAGACGTTAACAGAGACTGTTTGGTCAGTGTCTTAAGTTGTAAACCGTATTGTGGCGAGACAAAAGAAAGACGAACCTTTATTCGTAAATAAATATTCATTTCTTGAACTCCCATATAAGATGTATAATGCAATACATTGCATTTGTGTATATAACTTTTAAGTACAAATCATGAAAGACAACATATTTGGCGCAGATGTGAGAGTTCGTGTGTTGGAAACCCGGACAGAACGAGTTTTTAAAATTCAAAAAGATTCAAGATTCAAAATTTCGTCTGTCCTCTTTTAATTTTGATTTGCTTAAATAATGATCGTGGTAAATTCAAACATGATTTATTTCCCCTTTAAAAGCAGCAAATTAACGCGAAAAATCGCGTAGAGAAAGCTACTTATCTAGCTTACTACACGTACAACACCATAATCAACCAAGAGAAATTAAATATATAAGGATATCAAGTGGCACACCCCTCCAATAAGGCTGTAAATTCGAAACGAATTATCTATTATTATTATTATTATTATTATTATTATGAACATTTTGTTTTAAAGCATAAAAGTTTCATGCTAAAACTTCAATTATCATAGGAACGGATATATAAATGCATTTACATTTTTTATCAAATTCAGACATATACACACACGGTGAAATATCACAGAGATTTCACATATCAGACATAAACATACGCGGTAAAATATCACAAAGATTTCACTTATCAACAAATTTTTCAAATACAGAAATTTGTTTCAACAATAAAACATAATTTTCATACATTTAGATAAAAATGCAAATACATTTGAAATGTGATTCCTTTAAAAAGATATTTACATTTGAATATCCCCAACCAATATAAAAAGTAAATGGTACACGAGGTATTTATTTCTTACAATTCATAATAATTTCTTTCCTATAATAACACACGGATAGACTAAATACTGAGTATCATAGACATCTTTGGTTTGTATATTGTGTATCACATATAAACTAACATAAAATAAAATGCAATTTTCTTACAAATGGAGAAACTGTACTGTTACAGTTGTGCCATAATGAACGTCGAAATCATATACAAATGTATTAGTATTTTGTCATAAATGGTATTTCTTAAACACAGACAATTTTTTGAAAAAATACACTTCAACATTTATGATATTTTAATACATTTTTTGTAAAAAAAAAAAAGTCTTTATTGTAATAAAATTACCACAAATTTGTAACAATCCTTATCCATGAGACCATATAATAACGAAACTAGAGTATACTATAAATTGGTATAACTTAAAAGACATTCTTCTACTATTTAAAACGATAGAGGTATTGTTTGTCAGCGAAAATCGAATGGACAGCGTACACCTAACAAGCAAAAAGGAAAAGACAGCAAAATCAGTCAGAAGTCTACGATTCAACTGGTACTACAGATGCCGACGGTGCATTTGGCGCAATAGCATTACTTTTCGTGGCTTGTGTGCGCATCCACGTCATTTCCTCTTCCTTGACCTTCAATCCGAACAGTTTTCTCAAGGTTGCCTGAAACCTTGTTGCAGATGAGGATGAAACATATAGAAAGAAGTTGATCGCAAAGTTAAACTGGTAGAAGAAAAAGAAGAATGCCCTAGCCCATTTGAGTTTGATTTTAGTTGACTGGTAATCTATGTAACCTGGATACCCGGGATTGACTTTAGCTGTCGTGTTCCAAATCAACTCGGTCGACTGAATCAAGCCTAGAGGCAAAATCAGAATCACGTAAGTGCTTGAAACAACAAGCAGCAGCTTAGTTGCTTTTTCGTCTTTCTTGGTTAACGATGTGGTAGTCATGGCCTTCCGTTTGATTTGATTTTTCCGGATTTCGAAAATGATTAATGCGTTGAGACCAACAATGATGAACGTTGGCAACCATGTGTTGAATGCCACATAAAAATATATGATTTCCGGGAAAATTGCTCGCCGTGTTTTGCATGCTTTGTATCCAAACACAGAGTCTCCCTCAAAACCGGAAACGGCGATTTTGTGCATTGAGAAGAGGAAAACAGCCGATGATACTCCGATGATGGCGAGTGCCGCCCGCTGAACGGTTAATGCCTTGGCTTTCAGGGGAAATTTTATCATTATAAATCTTTCCACCGTGAACGATAGAATTACCCAGACTGATAGCAGGTTGAAGAGCTCCACAATAACCCCATGAAATTTGCAGAGTGATTCGTGATCCTGGAAATCCTTGTTGATGGTCAAATTTTGACCCCTCAATACTCCGATCATGAAGTTCATGGTAAGTGAGAGCGAATCAAATACTGCTAAAACCGACAGATACAAGTTAGTGGTTGACTTTCGCATGTGCTTCCGGGTCAGGACAATGAAAGACAAACAATTGGCTATTAGACCAAGTATGATTACTATGGATGTACCGTAAGAAAGAAGACCTCTGACAAGTGTTACAAATGGGAGGATGTCTACCCACAGAGTTCTCAGCTCACATGGCCATTTTAGCTTATCATCCTCTGTGATGTTCTTCCCTTGAAGATCCTCTACTACAGAGTAGTCGTACGCGCATGCACTGTCGTTCATTTTCCGTGTCGAAATCTGTAATAAGATATTAGGGAATATTAATATGGGAATGTACAAAAGACATAGAAACACGTTTTCATACAAATTTTGAATGAGATACAATAAAGACAAATAAAGAATTAAGCTGCATCATACAGCTGTTTCGTCCTTCTAGGACTTTGTCAGTGATTCGAAGGTTTTACGTCTTAAGACCTGAGAGGTGTTTGAGGAAAATAAAAATTAATCGAAAGAAATGTCAGAATGTGGATAAGGAGATTCACCAGCCCGATAAACATCAAGCCTTTTCCTATTAAACTTTATTTAAAACTTTTGTCATTATCAGGAGAAAATTTATGTAGATTTTCTCTTTGTAAATCTTTCTCAAATATTGAACGTAATAACATATATTTCAATGTCGATAATTCATAAATGTGTGTAAAAGAATGTATAGGCAAGGAAATAAACCCTCACGCGCAAATACCTTACACTTATATCCATATACACCATTAAAACCAATCTGTGATGGATGCGATATTTTTTCACATTAAAATATTGACCAAGAAACATACAAACACTATATTTAACAAACTCTAAGTGAGTGTACACAAAAATGAAATAGCCAGTATGCAAATTTCACAATGTCATTATAAACAGTATAATTTTTGCGCTGATTTAGCCAGAATGGGCGTCAGTTTGTACTCGTAATGACCGAATGAAAATATCATTTCGATGGCCTAGTGGTGTTTAAGCAGTCATTTCAAAGGGAAACGTATTTCCGTTAAAGGTATAGCTAATATTTATCTATACCACGAATCATTAACCTGTAATAATTTGTTCCAGATTTTGTTGGTATATGCCAAGTACTCATGAAACCAAATGCCGACGAAAACATACTTAATTGAGGAACCATGAGATTTTCACCTCACGAAAATTTATTATTCAAAGAAGTGATCTACCTTTAACAGATTACTTGTCATAATTCGATGCCATGTGATCAACTCAGGGAAAAAACAAAAACTAACCTCGTGCCAAAATGCCTCGCGTTATCATAAGATGCTGGTAAGCTGTCAATGACTTAGATATATACACCCAAGAGTACAAAATTCGTATTAATAATATAATTAATGGTTTCAAACATTATTAAAAAGCAATATTTATGAAAAATGTACATTATTATATAACACCAACCTACATCTTTCTGATAGAAAGTTCGGAGTCATACCAGCTTGTCCACATTTTGCCAAAATCGTTTAAATACGATTTGGCCTATACTTTCTGTTGTCTCGACCAAGGCTGCTCATGTGTTGGTAAGCCGATGTACAATAGGCCACTGTTGACCGGAAATACAAGCGCATTCTCTCTCTCACACACATACAAAATTATATATATACTTCAAGCATGTCGATCCTTTATAGATATAGAAAAGACATAAATACATATAGTAAATTGTTATCCTATTAACTGATTTTTTCTGTAACAGTTGGCATGTTGATTTTAAACGCTTCGTAATAGTGAGATCAGTTTTATTCAGAAATATCTTTCTCTAGGCGCATAAAGAAAAAAACGTCCTAGTTGGACTGGGATATCAGAGTCGTTTAATACGTAGCTGAAATACACTGCTTGGATTAAGTTTAGATAGGTAGGTTTAATTAATTAACCTAGCGGTATTATCAGCTGTGTGCCTCATCGACATGTGTAACAGGTGGTCACCTTGACAGGTGAATAAAAAGCAGCTTACTAGCATATATCGTCACTTAGGTGATATTAATTACTTACGACAGGAAAGTATGAAAGGGTTGTATTGGATGATAAATTGCTCAAACGATGAACAGATAGACAGGTCCACCCAGGAGCACTCTGAATAGACCACGAAGAAATTTAAACCTTCGTTTATCGGTCTTTCTGTTGGTGAGACAATACATTTTAGCCATTTCTATTTAACTGTCTGAGGAGAAAAAAATCTGTCTGTAAGGATTATGAGAAATTAATACTCAACACAAGGGACAATATGAACTTTAATTTGAAAAACCAAAATATCCACATCTAAAATTCTATGCAACTTCTTTAATGAATGATTGGATATTTTTATCAATGTCATGCATGTTAATTACAAAAGTAACATTGACAGAAACACAGTGTATCCGAATTATGAATAAGAAGGGAGAGCAATGCATTTGAACAGAATTACTATATATTTTGTCTTTTCCCCTAACATAATGCATTTAGGAAATAATCAAAACAAAACACGTGAGATGGTCGATCTGATTTTAAATCACGGTGGTTTAATGAGTATGCAGACGTATTTCATAATCAGAAATGAATTATGTTTCTTTTAGTAAAAATTTATGTAGGGAAAAAACACTGATTAAGTACAGATAAATACTTATAGACCCAGTAAGCCCAGTAAGCCTGTAAAATGTTCAAGCAGGACTAGATATAACTATGTGACCTGATCACAGGGCTCTGATTAATCATCCAGGTCAATTTTTTCACGTAGAAAAATAGTTCATGTATTGTCATGGGAATATAGATTAACTGTGGAAAGGTCAAGTGACGGCTTGATATAGGGAAAGTATGTGAACGTAGCTGAATTTATCCTTATCTCAGTTTTAGTATCTGTACGGGGATAGTAATTATAGCATGTCAAATTAATTTTAATATATTAAGGAAGCAGTCGATTTAACACAATTTTAACGAAATCAAGTTGATGTTATTCAACCCGAGTGTATGTAAGTTATTGTCAAATGCTATACTACACTAGTGCTTAAAAAGTAATCGTTGAATTTTGTAATTTTGTACAATTCTAATGTACAGGTTCGTTTGTAGATGAAAATGTAACATAATTATGATTTCTTACCAGAAACGTACAATCCTCGTATTTGCACGGGAATGTTCAGCGTAATAAACTTAATGTATGTGTACCTGGGATGTAAAATATTGTACCATCGTAGTGTTGGATGTCAAGTATCACAGTACTCGTATCACCACGAGAATGTTAAGTATATATATATATTTGAAAAGAATGAAATCAACACGGCAAATGTATTCCGCTAACGTTTTCAGGCATAACGGCCATCTTCAGGCGATACATTTATATATATATAATAAAATGTGATGAAAGCGCTTATGTTTTACAGCTCATCGTGTTTTCCAGTCTTTAAATTTATAATATATATCTTGCAAAGCCATTATATCTATTTGGTCAAAGACCGGTATCAGAGTCGTATTTTATTAGCAGAATAAATTCTCATCTCACGACAGACACATAATTTATTGAGTTTATAAACACTTGGATATGAAAATGGAATTTGTGTTGCAATTACAGACATTTTTAAAAGAAATTTTGTGATGTTTTGGCGTTCTTATCCTTAATCCATATTTGGAAATATTGCAATACAGAAGCAAAGCTATCTCTACTACTTCGGTTAGATATTCCTTCGTCGCCTCCAAGGTTACAACTTGGACCCTTAACATCACTGAAGAGTCCTAGAAGGACGAAATGGTTGTGTGATGCGTTTTTTTTTTAATTAATTGTAAATTCAAGGTGCTATTGACAAAAACTGTTCAAAAATGCAATGTTTGTTGAAATATCAGTTGTATTAATGTAATATTACTTACCATGCGCACTAGATAGATATAGCTACTTAAATGAGAAAATGCGCCGTTAATTTCTTGTCTGGCGTGTAATATATTCTATGACAACCTTGTCATTGTAAATATTTCGAAATCAATTTCAATTTTGGAAAGTCTTTTTCATCATGACCTTTTTATCTCGAGCTAACGAATACCATCCTGGTAAGAAAACTCGTCTTTGATACTAGAAGGAATAATTTCAGCATCGAAACACATTGCACGCTAATGGTTTATATTTTCTATAACTGGGCAGTATTGTTTTCAACTAGTTTGCTTAAAAAAATCTACAAACGCGAAATATCTCTATGTTTACAGGAGTCGAACGATTATGGAATATCTTCCAATTTTGATTAGTTGGTTCTGTTTTATGGAAAAGAAAACATATTACCTCAGAATTTCCTTTTGTCACATCGCACAGGTAATTCAGAAATCCTTTCCTTTGATATTGATTTGAAATTAATTATTGATTTTTCAAATACACTGTTAATTGATTGAATTAATATTTTCCCTTAATGTTATGAACATATGTCCAACATGTATCGGTTCTCTGTGGTATGATGTTAGCATTATTGTTTTGGACTTAAATAATAGATTTTTTTACTTTGATTTCCACACATGTAAAAATATACTATTCTTCAAGTATTTTTGTCGGAAAAAATCTTCACTAGCAAAAAAAAAATTTTTTTGACCAACTACAAAAAGCTATATCTGATACAATACTTCTGTGTCTTATCTTATCTATACATGACTTAACGATACTTCTCTTAACGCTGTATCTTTAAATGGAAACACATTAAACAAAAAAAATATACATACCTGTTAAAAGAAAAGGCACCTTGCTGCTTCCAGTTACGTTGGATCGGAGAGAATGTTGTTATCTTGATCTGAAATCAAATCTTATTTCTGCTACCTTTGGTCATGTGATCAAGATGCTGTTCATGACGTCATAAAGCTTATATGCTTAATAAGTAATTTGCAATGACTTTTAAATTAATATCCTAAGAACGGATTACACGAAGCTTCATGCTTATCATGATTATGAGTACGTGTCTCTAGAGAGCAACAATGTTACCATATCAACGCATTAATTGCACCTGTATTCCAGCACATCTTGTAGACACATACATAATTAAGCATGCTAATTAAACATTCGTTCTGTGGAAAATAAACAAAGGATTTATAGATAGGACAATAAAAAACTTAAAATGATACAATCCACATGTATATACAACTCATTTCTTTATAGACTGGTATCACAATTTATCACACTTCTTCAGCGAGGATTCAGATTTCTCGAAATGAAGTCACTTGAAATCGATTTTTTTTCAAGTCCCTTGTGTTCGTGTATATCATAAGGGGGAGTGGAATCTGTTTCATATTTAAGCTTGACCTCTAACGTTTCACTGAAGACATCTGTATGCAGCTGACTAACCATATAATAGAACATTTTTAGGAATGGATTAACGGTTATCATGTTGTAGACCGATAGCTGAGGACGGAATTAGTTTAAACATCATTTCATTCCGTAAACATGTAATAAATATAATATAATAATGCAAACACATAAATAAAAAATTCAAATAATAGCACATGTATCACAAAGAAGAAGTTAGGGACAGAGAAAGAAATGCGGAAGGGGCGACGCTTTGGGAATTGATAAGACTATGTCTTATGGAAAATTTAGTAAAGGAACTGCATTACTGGTGGTACAAAAATCTAGCTGGAATGTCATATCGTTATGTAATATATCACAATATCATAGAACTGTATGAGTGATGTTTTATCATATTACAAGTATTCTGAGACACATTAGTTAAAAAATATTCTGACCACTTGTGGAATTAAAATACCGAAAAGTCACCCAAGATCTGTATATAAGCTGCCATGTAACAAACGTTGTCGAGCAAAACAGGTTTATCTAGTTTATGGTATAAAGAATACTTATACTATACTCGTTTTGACGTACAGGGTTTTTCCATATACGGTTGGTACTCAGGGGGTTGCCAACTGAGGTAGTGTAATCTTGATAGTTACGACAGAACAGGAGAAAGCGTTTTCCGTAGATTCATTAAATGGTCACACACGATATTATTCAACTTTACACTTTCTCCGTAAGAAGACAGTTCCACGTACAATAGAAGTGTTATTTGGATGTCAGTGGCTTTGTATACAGTCGATACTATAAATATGGATACATACTGATTGGAATTAATTCATTTTTAACGTTTGCTTACACAGATAGGACTGAAGAAATGTTCAGAAACTCCAAGTATATGTTTCTCAGTATGCAGATTTTATCATCCCCCTATCCCGGCAGATGTTTGAACACGATACAATATAATCAAACTATTATGCATTTAACAATTCAACAATTTTCTAAACTTGATGTTAACACCGTAACTTGGAATAAAACCTAGTTTTGATGAAATTTTAAAACATTAATATCGTTTGCAATTAGAACGACGACCTTTATGTTACATTCCGTGCCGGAATTTTATTTCGAACACATAAACTTTTAAAATACTAATTTACTGAAAAGAAAACATTTAAAACTATTTTTAAAATCCCATCCAAAGAAGAAAATGACCATATATCAACAGAATATTCTGTTTCAATGAAACGAGAACATTTGTAAATTGTTAAGGAACATTAACTCCTACAAATCATACACTCAATGATACTACAGCTTCTTGTAATAGAGAAAATCTTACGATAACATGCGTGGAAACGTCCAAATTGAAGCTCGCAGGACACAATCAGGCTCTCTGATTACATTATGTTTGAGTATAGCTGATCTTCGCCTTGTGTTGATAGCATTAATATTCTTTTGCAAAGAAAAAATAAAACGTATATCTATACTAAAGGGATAAAGAAACGCAGGGTAAACTTTGAAGATAATTCTAGGCAAGACGTCGAGTATAATGTTCAATATCACTATGTAAGAATGAAGATTAATCCATACAGAACAAACTACAAAATCAACAATTTGTATCTGGTAAGTGATTTAGGAGCAATTGAAGGGAATTGAAAGAGAACTCTGTAATCTGAAATCGAAACCGACCTATTGTGGGAGCTGGAGAGTCAATACAAGGTATGTCCCCCATTCGATCTCTCCACAGCCCTGATTCTACTAGCCATGGAGTCTATGAGTGAGTTTATCCTCCTCATTTGGATGTTGGCCCATTCTTCCAAGAGGGCTGCTCTCAGTTAGGCCAGAGTAACAGGAGGAGGCTTGCATCGTCGAACCTGTCTATTCAGCTGGTCCAACACGTACTCAATAGTGGATAGGTCGGGGCTGTATGGCGGCCAGTCCAGTGGGCGGATATTGTTGTTAGTGAGAAAGTCGAGACAGATCCTCGCTACATGGGGCCGAGCATTCTCCTGCTGGAATTTAAGTTTGTTTTGCTACAATAATGGGACAACCTGGGGTCGGAGGATCGCATCTCTATACCCAGTGGCAGTTAAATTACCCGCTACCACAACCAGTGGTGATTTAACTTCAAGTGAGATTCCTCCTTACACCATAACCGATCCACCCCCAAACCTATCCGTCTCTACTACGCAGCAATCAGCAAGACGTTCCCCACGACGTCGGTATACACGAAACAGGGTGAACTGGGACTCATCAGTAAACAAGACTCGCCTCCACTGCCTCAATGGGAATATTCTGGGGGCATGTGCATGACGAGTAGCGGTAAGGGGCAGACCTACAAACGGGTGACGTGCCCGCAGACCAACTTCCCGCTATCGTTTCTTTGCGATTTTTGCATGGATAGGATGGTTATGAGTACCTATATTATGAAGTACAGATTCAATAGCAGTAAGGTGCCGATTGCGCAAATGCGCAACACGAGTAAACATGTCCTGACTCTGTAACGTCACTCACGGACGCCCAAACCTAAATCTGTCAGCAACCCGCCCAGTTTCCCTTAGACGTCTAACAAGACGTTCTATAGTGCAAATATGGACACCGAAATGTTCTGGACACCTGTATTTGCTTTTCATTTTGTATAATTATCGCAATGGCCTGACCCCTTTGAACTTCCGTCAGCCTTGCCATTGTTTAATGCTATCAGAAATTAATCAAAATATCGGAAACTGATGTAGATCTATGAAGACTACCTAATGGTATGACGAGCAGTGTAACTCAATGTCACAACACTGCTGTGCACGAGATTTTCACGTTTCGTGCTTTCCCCATCGTCATGAGTGAAGATATATATATATATATATATATATATATATATTAGCATCTATTAAATTGTGTGATCGCGAAAATTTGAACCAACGAAAGAAAACATCATTACAGTATTACTGGAACATATAGAAACCATCATTACAGTATTACTGGCACATATAGAAACCATCATTACAGTATTACTGGAACATAAAGAAACCATCATTACAGTATTACTGAAACTTATAGAAACCATCATTACAGTATTACTGAAACATATAGAAACCATCATTACAGTATTACTGGAACATAAAGAAACCATTATTACAGTATTACTGAAACATATAGAAACCATCATTACAGTATTACTGAAACATATAGAATCCATCATTTCAGTATTACTGAAACAAAAGAAACCATTATTACAGTATTACTGGAACATAGAAACCATTATTACAGTATTACTGAAACATATAGAAACCATCGTTACAGTATTACTGAAACATAGAAACCATTATTACAGTATTACTGAAACATATAGAAACCATCATTACAGTATTACTGAAACATATAGAAACCATCATTACAGTATTACTGAAACATAGAAACCATTATTACAGTATTACTGAAACATAGAAACCATCATTACAGTATTACTGGAACATATAGAAACCATCATTACAGTATTACTGAAACATATAGAAACCATCATTACAGTATTACTGAAACATAGAAACCATTATTACAGTATTACTGGAACACATAGAAACCATCATTACAGTATTACTGAAACATAGAAACCATTATTACAGTATTACTGGAACATATAGAAACCATCATTACAGTATTACTGAAACATATAGAAACCATCATTACAGTATTACTGAAACATAGAAACCATTATTACAGTATTACTGGAACATATAGAAACCATCATTACAGTATTACTGGAACATATAGAAACCATCATTACAGTATTACTGAAACATATAGAAACCATCATTACAGTATTACTGAAACATATAGAAACCATCATTACAGTATTACTGAAACATATAGAAACCATCATTACAGTATTACTGAAACATATAGAAACCATCATTACAGTATTACTGAAACATAGAAACCATCATTACAGTATTACTGAAACATATAGAAACCATCATTACAGTATTACTGGAACATATAGAAACCATCATTACAGTATTACTGAAACATATAGAAACCATCATTACAGTATTACTGAAACATATAGAAACCATCATTACAGTATTACTGGAACATTTAGAAACCATCATTACGGTATTACTGGAACATAGAAACCATCATTACAGTATTACTGAAACATAGAAACCATTATTACAGTATTACTGGAACATATAGAAACCATCATTACAGTATTACTGAAACATAGAAACCATTATTACAGTATTACTGGAACATATAGAAACCATCATTACAGTATTACTGAAACATAGAAACCATTATTACAGTATTACTGGAACATATAGAAACCATCATTACAGTATTACTGAAACATAGAAACCATTATTACAGTATTACTGGAACATATAGAAACCATCATTACAGTATTACTGGAACCTATAGAAACCATCATTACAGTATTACTGGAACATATAGAAACCAACATTACAGTATTACTGGAACATATAGAAACCAATATTACAGTATTACTAAAGACTGTGGTACGAAATTACTGCTCTGGTTGTCTATTAGGCTTCCACGAATAATTCGTATTAATAGGCCTATTGTATTATACAAGCTGGTATAAAATTATTTGTTCTTTAATTAAACGAAACGACCAGCTGGCCCCAACATGGCCTATCGTTTGAAATAGGATTCCAGAAACAACAGTTCGGTGTGTTAATACGGATAAGGCTTGCAGCACCTTAACAAATGAACACGGAACGTTATAGGGATTAGTGATACTGTCGAAAATCTGGTAAATACAATTACTGCAGCGGCTTCGGATCTTTTAATTAATTTGATATTGTTACCATGTTAAAACCTTAAGGTTGTTATGTCTTGTTGGTACGGTAACTAGATAAATATTGGTCGAAATATAAAGACAACAAGACGACTTCCGGCAAATACGTGGAAACATCAATCGTAAGTAGAACATAACCCCGAGAGAAAATAGTCGGATAACGTTAAAGATAGATCGTTATTACATTAGTTACAATTATTATCTCCGGGTCGTAAGATATGTCCTTTGTATGAGGTCGTTATTGGTATATATCTTTTATATTTACGGAAAAGATGTTGACTGATGGTTCTTCGTTTATTTATTTACTTATTTCGGTGTCCATATTTAGATTTATCTTATTTATTTACCTTTTTACCTTTATCTGTTTTTTTCCTTTACTTGCACTTTACTTATCCGGGGTAAAATCTGATCAGGAATGCTGTTTCAGGAAATGTCTTCAAGTATTTAGCGGAACTTTGACAATAACCACAATGTATTTTTCAGAAGCCCGTTAGAGAGCCCCAGGCTCATAGGAACGTGAAAATCACATTGATATAAATTTGAACATACTTTTGATGACGTGCTAGCAATTCGCTTTTACTTAGTAGTAAATTAATGACATTTTCTCACTTCACACTGGAGAGCCTTAAGTATACACTTATAAAGATGAATCTATCACCTAAAACGCAGTCAAATTATTTACAAATTTGTTTATACGCTGTTTATATTACCGAAACGCTAGACTGATCAGGACAATCGTTTGTCTCCATTTTCTTAATTTGTAGGAATTGTGATTGATGAAAATAGATAAATAAGAAATATTAAACGTCCTTTGACCGGTATATCAACAATTTACCACGATGGGGTTACCTTGTCTCACTCCAGGGTTTAGAGGAGTTATTCCCCTTCCTATAGACGACGTCATGTCAGCGATGCGTAAATATGGGACAACACAAACATGATTAAGGAGGCACGCAGGATAAGAAAAACCGAATCATTCACCTATTGTTGATGAAATAGAGTATACAAAAATAAAGGAAATGAGTAAACTACAAACAGTTGAAAAACGTCATCAAACTTAATAATATTTCTCTCTGGTTGAGATCACACTGTCCCACTACCAAGGGATAGAACGACTTTATTTATCCCAGAATTGTCATTTGTTCGTCATTCATTCTATCTTAAATTTCCGCGGTTTACTTTCGCTAGTTTATTTCGATCGCGAGATTTGCAAAAGTAAATTGCACGCAAAGAGAAAGTTGATTCACAATACTTTGGTACATCCATGATCACACCCCTTCGTTTTTACTACTTTGTCACATATTGGGCCGAATGCATATAGACAATGTGGGTTATTAATGCAAACGGTCAATAACCTCACTGACCTTGGTCATTTATTTATTAACAATTACAGTGGTATCAGTACCATCCTGAAACAATGGAATCAACGATACATTATCATAATTTATCTTTAATGAGAATTTGTCATTAAAGTTTGATGTCGCGTTCAAATGGACAGGTCCCATGTTTACTTAAATACATGTACGAAAGCTCAGATCAACGGCATCATTTTACTGTCCTTAATATTTGACAATGTTTTAAAATATGCATACACTTGTACAATTAAATTCAAGTTATTTATTAAATGAAAACATACCTTCAATGTATATATATTATTTATGTTTTACAACCTGCATTCTTTCATTATTCGACACATTTTCTGTGTTGATGGGGTAATATGTCTTGCGCTTTTACATCACATGGTAAATTTTCATCTGCATGTTAAAATAAACACCAACGATTAATTTTGTCTTAACACATCATTGATTTAATTATTGGTGCTAATTCATTCACAACATTTCTTTTTCTTCTGTCTACAAAATCGTAATTCAACAGCAAAATATGAGTAAAAAGAAAAGATTTCCACACAAGTAATTGGAAATATACATTGACAATAAAACCTTGTGTTCCGAAAGGATAAACATCCTCTGCTTCATCGAAATGGCAATCCAAGTAATGTCATATTGAATCAACATGCATCAGGCGTCTGAGACATGTAGGCATATTTCACCAGGAAATGAAAATTTCACAAACGATTGTGATCATAAACCTTTGTTTTCACCAAAAAATATATTCATTATTCTTTATCTTTCATGTAGGACGCCTAGCACAGAAGCATACAAATGCAAATATATAAACTGTACAGGTTGGGCAGAGGTCATATCAATCTAAAGACAGAACGATCTCAAAAAGGAATTTGTTGGGATTCGTTATGTTATTGCACGGTCAAGCTCTGTTTTCTACAACCCTGGGGTGGGGGGTGGAGGGGGGGAGTTTCTATGTATATTCATATTCCTTTCTAGATAATGCAGCACTCAGTTTTTCAAGGCGCACAACATGCATATTCACTTGAAATGTTGTGATGAATGAAAAACGAACCATGTATATAGAGAATACATGGTCGATGTCTTAAAATATAAGCTGTACTTTGCGAGGGTGAAGAAAGACAAAAGTAGCGAGCGTCAAAATAACTGCTCCGCGCGGAAACATAGTTCCAAACTTTATCGGATATAACAGCGATTTAATGAATTTTCGTAAATCAACTTGTTCATTACCAAATGTAAAATAGCTTATTTTAACAACTAATTAACATTTCTAAGCGTAATATTTAAGTAAATTCAGAGAGTAATTATGTCGTCGAATTACCGCACGTGCTAAAATACAGCTGCTTTCCATCACTGCTGAATGTATTGTTTGTATACATACTTATAACTTAAGAACTTTAAGTATTGAATAATTTGAAAAGAAGATCAGGTGCAATGTGTATATTCCTAACCATACCACTATTTAAGTTAATTAACACATGGCTTACAAGTTACGACAAACCTCGGATAGTAGTGTCAACCAGCAGAGTTTATCACCTGCAAACCCACAAATTGTACAATGACTGATGATTCAAATGTAGAATTATATACAGTGTAACCAAATACTAGTAATCAATTGAACTGCATCATTCACTTTTTTCGCCTTTCCAGGATTCGTAAGCGGTTCTAAGAGCCTATATTGTATAAAAGTTGGATAGATTACATATGAGAATTTTTATGCCACTTTTTAATTCATTCAAATAATAGCATCGATCAGGGTAAACACATGTAATTGACATTCTTCTAAAATTATAATATCTATGAAAATCACGAAATTTAACCATGGGGCTAGTGAACCTCCCAGTCAAAATTTTGACTTTTTGTTCCAAACAATTTCATTTTTCCTCAGTTGGTTTAATATCGGGATTTTCAGCATCATTAAGAATTCCTAGAAGGGCAAAACTAATGAATGATGCAGTTAAATTCAGTGTTTGGCTCTACTCTATCTTATTCAAATTTGTATTAAATTGTGTCATTCATTTGTGTTTTTTGTACAATCTTCATTTTCATTTGAATTCGATTCATCAGTAGTCATTCATAATCATGATCAATTTTATGACAGATAAATCTGACCAACCGGGATTATAAACGCACAAATTCTTCAGTGAGTACACTTTTGTTGTGTTTATCTATATCCATTGTCCTTATTCTTATAAAATACAACAATTAAATGGAAACAAACAACATTTAATTTTTATTTGTAAATTCATGAAATCAATAAACAGACTCGGTAAGCTTGTACAGGTCGCATATCCTACATGCTTTACGAGTGTTACAAACATTTATATAATATCATTACTAGAGTTACAGACAACTATATAATATCATTACTAGAGTTACAGACATCTATATAATATCATTACTAGAGTTACATACATCTATCATATCATTACTAGAGTTACAGACATCAATCTAATATCATTACTAGAATTACATACATCTATCTTATATCATTACTAGAGTTACAGACATCAATCTAATATCATTACTAGAATTACATACATCTATCTTATATCATTACTAGAATTACAGACATCAATCTAATATCATTACTAGAATTACATACATCTATCTTATATCATTACTAGAATTACAGACATCAATCTAATATCATTACTAGAATTACATACATCTATCTTATATCATTACTGGAGTTATAGACATTTATATAATATCATTACTAGAGTTACAGACATCTATCTTATATCATTACTAGAATTACATACATCTATCTAATATCATTACTAGAGTTATAGACATTCATATAATATCATTACTAGAGTTACAGGCATCTATCTTATATCATTACTAGAGTTACAGACATCTATCTTATATCATTACTAGAGTTACAGACATCTATCTTATATCATTACTAGAGTTACAGACATCTATCTAATATCATTACTAGAGTTATATACATCTATCTTATATCATTACTAGAGTTACAGACATTTATGTAAGAATACAGCATTTCATTTTTGTCAAACTGTACCCAACATGTTGCAGTAAATAATGAGCTCTCGGAATGAAAGCATGTTACTTCTGCGGCATCACAAGAAGCAATATAACCACAACAATGTAAATACACGCATGGTGGTAGGTATAAGCAATTAAAAAATTACATGTTAGAATCAAACATCGGAAAAGGACATCGGAGTTGTCATAGACGAATTCTTAAGCTTTGTGAAGAACACATAGAAGACAGAGTCAAAAAGCAAACTCGAAGTTAGTCATAATCGGGAGATTATTACCATTTGTAGACAACCAAACATTCGTCCCATTCTTCAAATGTCTTTTCAGTTGGAATACGATGGGGCAGTATGGTCTCCGTACAAACAAAAGAAAAACTGGAAAAGTGTACAACGGCGCCAGGAAATACCTACTGGCAACGAGGGGCCTGGAGTATCCAGAGAGATTCAAGAAATTGATCCTACCAACATTAAAATAGGAGACATTGAGGGGACGTGGTCAAAATGTACAAGATGGTGAACAGATTGTATGATAGAGAGACATGTACGTTTGTGAAACTTTGGAGAGAGGAATCTGTCGGATATATTTCAAGAGAAAACAAATATTCCCGTATCAGTCAACAACATTTTTGGAGAGAGACTATCTTCACATTTCATTCAGGTAAAATATGAAACTTCCGCAGGACGTTGCATCCACTCCAGATATCAATACCTTTAAAACTAAACAGAAAAACATAGACGGCATAAGGTACTTTATTCTAATTATAAGGCCAATATAAGTAATAATTAACTTTAACTTTATTAATCATTTTTGAGTCTAGTGTAGAGAAAAACTATGGCCTCCTGTGTTGGAAAATAAACTTAAACTTTATTCTAAGTAGGTAATTATTTTTAAGTCTAGTGTGTAGAAACATTATCTGCTCCCGTGTTGGAAAGATAGCTTTAACTTAAATGTAATATTTCAATGTAGTCTCAACTGAAAACGATTGGTTTCATGTATTTAAGATATTAGTATCCATGTACTCACTCGCCTTTATTGAGGACCTCACATATTGAAATAATAATATACCAATATATTGTGGTTGCGAAAAAGTTACGTTTGTATTTGAGCAATATGATAAATATATTATTATACAGACTATTTCTAAATCAACGTATGTTTCCCATTACAATATATAACGATATGCTATTAACATTTCAACTAAAATTAGTACAAGGCATATAATCAAGGTCATTCTGTCCATTGAGTAACTTACGACAACCCATGTTAGTACTGGTTTCTCAGTAACCCTTTCGTTAATGCTGTTTGGGTTTCTGTCTTTTCCATTAACATCTGTACTTGTCTCAACTAAAACATTTTCAGTAACAGCGTTTGAAGTTCTGTATTTTTTCAGATTCATCATCATTGACATAAGCCGAAGAATTAGTGGGATTTGTTCCGTGTCGTTTCGATGAATATAGCCAACAGATAATACTGATGCCACACAAACAATGACATTAATAGCAAGATTGATACAAAGAAACAGGCTAACTACAGGAAGACCTTCTGATATCGGAGGCAACTCATCCATTACAATAGTCATGAATACCGCCATTGACAGAACAACTGTTATGGAAAATGATACCTTCTCACCACAGTTTGCTGGTAGAACAAATACAAAAAACATTACAAACTGTAGGAGCACAACCGGAACAAACATGTTTATGACAAGAAATCGCGGTTGCCGTTTCAAAGTTATTCCGAGGTAGAGGACTTTGTCGTTTTTATTATGAAATGCTTTCATCGTCAGATTTGACACAGACACATCCCAGAATCCATTCTGCGATTGTTGTGCGCTGCTTGATTTAGATGGGACCAGCACAACACGTCCTCCAACATGTCCCACCGGGATGAAAATAATATGACAGTCATGTTGGTCATACGGAAAATATTTGACGAAAGGCTTACAAAACGACTTAATTATTGTATTGAACTCAATAATTGCACGTCCATCAAATTGATAGTTAACGAGTAGCACCTCTCTTTGATCCTCCATTAAGTTTGATTTCTCTGCGGCGTTGTGAATTTTGATAGCTGGTACCCAAACATCACTGAATGACATGTGAATACTTCTGGTTTTATCATAATCTCTTGGATTCCATCTCATAACTTCATCTTTCCACTTCACACGGAATTTTAGATGAGAAATCAAAATGCCTTCTACAATATCAAGCTCTTGGACACGACCGAATACTATTTCGCCGATGACTTGTATAGGTTTTCTCTGATCAATGACCGGACGAGTTGTCGTCGTGTAGTTTTTTAAAAGATCCGATTTTAGCTTGTTTACGATAGCATAGGTTTCGCCTTCAGTTGAAGTGCACAAAGCACAGAAAATGATGAGAACACGAACAAACAACATGATGCCGTAGTGCTTCTCAAATATTTTTCGATGTTCTCCGTTAGTGACTTGCGTTCAAATAACCAATATATTGCTATCGTCTGTTTTAAAGAACTCTTTATATGCAATGTTAAGTTACTTGTGACAAGTCACTCAAACTTTAGAATAATAACAAAGCAGAACAGCTTTCTGTTATCCTTTTTTTACGTTCCAACCATACCGTTAATCACAAGGCCTTTAAACACTCAATTTAGTTTAGAATATTGATAATCACTTGATGGAGAGTTCAGTCAGATAGCTACGGGAATAGGTACGTTGTAAGAATTCCCCTTTGGTCTACGAGGTATACTGGTGTACGGAACTCATTTGATCGTGCCAACTAATCTTTCATAATGTACAATACCAATCAATTATTCATCGTGATTTCATGAAACATGGCCCTGATAAATACTAGCCGCAATATAGAGCACGGATAGAGAGAACGTATGTCTAGTTTGAACGTCCGAGTAGTAAGTCAGAGGACCTGGGTTCAAATCCCAGCGGAGGCACTGACATTAATGACCTATGTTAATTTGTCTACCACATATGAATACTTAGCCATAACCCATTAGCAACGCTGTTACGTCTGGTAAACTCCATTGTCATTAATTTCCTTAAGGAGAAGTATGTAACTCTGGTAAATACTATTCGCAAAACATAGCAACTGTAATTTATTATTTTGTCAAAACGTCTGGTTGACGTCAGATATATACGTGTATTATCTTATATACGAACCCAAATTAAGGTTTTGGAAATAGTACCAAACAATATACATACCATGGTTAAATACTGACCTTTGTTATATAAGGACTATGATTTCATGGAGTTTCATACTTACTACCGTGATGTGAAACAGTCATTAAATGATAAATAGATGATCAATACTGAAAAGTATCACCAAGTCTCTCCAAATCATAAATGTCCGTCCAGTTTCCCATCACTACGATCACACACTTTCTGTAAGCAATAAAATAAACAATATATCTGAAATTCTGATAAAAGCGAAATATTTTACGTGGACGTCAGTTTGTTAATTCATCCAATAAGTATTTCAAATCTCGTAATAAAAGTTTGAAACCTGAGTGGGGAACAATAATTCGATTCTTATAAGTAAAGGTACGCGACAACCTGCCAGTCCATGTGGATATTTTCCTGGTGGCACGGTTTCCTTAAACACCAACATCTCTCCAGCACTTAAATCTTTGTTGGATTCTTATAAATATCAATACTTAAAGTTTAAACGTAGGCCTTGTTGATCTTTTTCACGTCGACTTTCAACTATTTTTTTATGTTGGCATGACGCTTTTGTGTATATCGTAAATAATTTATTTTAACTGTTTACTAGTTTGAAGCCAACGAACTATGTTCATAACCAAATAAAAGTTTAAATATTTTGAGTTTTTAATCTTTTGGTGTGTTCCTATCATCACAAAACCAACATGTACAGCAATTAGTCAAAAGTTTGCTTTCCTCTCCACATTTTAAAGCGGCGTGGTATTAGTTATGATGCAGGTAATTATGCGTTTATCGATAGTTTCTCTTTCTAGATAAACCCATTTATGGAGGTCATTCACTTAATCTTCCTCTGTGATGGAAGTTGTCTGACGACATGGCGAGTTCATAAACCGTTTCATACTCTATTTATTTGCATTGCCAGCTTAAACTTAAAGTGACATTGTCCCATCCATAGAACTTATTATCCTTACAATATGAACCTTAACAGTACACGTTTCCACCATGAAATATTGTCTAAACAAAATAAATGAAGCAACAGCTGATGTCGGGTTATTTAAGCCGGTAATTAGCTGATCAGTTAAACATGGAGGTACTTAGGGTTCTCTACTGCCTGAGTGTTTGTTTACTGACCGTAGTATTTCCTGGTCAAAAGCGGTATAATAATTATGTATTATGGCATAATGTTCACAATCTTTTTTTATTGAATCTGGTATTATTTCCACTTTCATAAGCCCGATATTTACATTTTAAAACGATAAAGTCATATAATTGACGGTCAAATTTATTTTACAAGTGAAGAAATAAATGATGAAAAAATATGGATAAAACTAACAATATTGCAAAAATGTTGCAAACTTTTGATTCTATAATTCTTATGTTAATCTGCCGATTTTATAGAACATTTAAATGTTTACATCTAATTTGTAGTGATGCTTGAGTTTTAAGAATATCTGCTTTTATCGAACAATGAACATGTAGGTCTTACCTAGCTCTCTTTATCAACGTCATCCAAATTCCCATTCTCTTTAATTCTTCATTTTCCTATTCAAACAACCATTCTCATTAATTAATTTTTCTATTCATATAACAATTCTCGTTAATTCTTCATTTTTCTATTCATATAACTATTCTCGTTACTTCTTCATTTGTCTATTCATGTAATTATTGATTTTATTAATCTAATCACTTATTGTTATGCTTAACTTATATTAAAGAGATTATTTACTTCTATATTAATTTGTATGTTAATGTAAGATCAGCTGTCATTCAGCGAATGTCTAAAGGATCAACCTTCTTCATTTTATGAAATTTTCTATATGTTTTATTTACATGGCAGGTGCCGTCGATGAAGCAGAAGACGCATACTCTTTCAGATCATCTGGTTTTATTCTCTTTGTACACTGTGTTCCTATGTTCATATGATGGTTTGTTCTTCTCATTTCAGATTGTTGTATTGTGTATAACTAATTCATGATCAGTATTTTACGTAATCCCATGATATATTGCCTTTTCCCCACGTGATTTCAAGACGGATAAGAGTTGAAGTATATTTCTGAAGACTGTTTCAACTTCGGCTTCGATGAAAAGATGTTGCTCAAACGTGGCATATTTCAGAAATGCCTTATTCGGTAATCAGATAATTTACCAAATCATTTAATGTTTCTGTAATGAGACTATTTGAAAATAAAAGCTTTTGATGTTTCTCTACTGGTTCTTTTTTTAAAAACATTGTGATGATTCTTTAATGAACTTCCTTTAAGATTCTCATCCATGTTTGAAATTCAAAGTTAAATATAAAGGTCAACATATAAAGAATTTATAAATCCGATCAATCGATTAATCTGACAAAGAAAAAGATTTTTGCGATAACGTTCAATTCTAACAAGTGAGGATAAATCAGAGCCGAGATTCGAGATCAATGCGACCCTTTGAAGACAATGTATCTACAGCTGATATTTTTCATTCCTCCTCTCATAGAGGACAAAAACTACATTACTTCTGCATCGATCCACATAGCCTTTCTTAATTTGATATTAAGTGTATATATACGTAGTCCATAATAAAATCTTTGTTATGCGGAATCATTATATATAAGCACTTGGAGCAGTAATGGATTGGAAACACCTAAACAGAAGACAAAACAGCAGGAATGTTCGAGTTGTCTAAACGAAGGTCTTCACTTCATTAAAAGTGAAAAGAAAATCAACATGATTAAAGAAGACATAAATTAAATACACCAAGTCTAACATCTAAGACTTTGAATTATGAAGCAAAATGATACTGTAACAAGAAATCAGATGAAGCAACACGATATCAAAGAGAGCAGTAGGAACATCAAAGAACGCCAGAAACTGAGGAGATGACAAAACAAAGTGAAGACACGTACAGGACATGTGGAAACAGGGAAAAAGAGACAAAGCATCATCGCACACTCATAGACTAATCATACCAACAAAGTACCGTATGATAAGTAATGTAAATTTCGAAGCATATGTAATATATATATTTGGACACAACTAACGAAGGAAGACAGTTTGGATTAGTGTTTTATATGGGCCTCGAACTCACTATCTACTGCACCAAATCGCATAGCCAAGAAATGTAACAACTGCCTAACCATCACACTACCGCAAATCAAAACGTGTCTACCTTCGTCATTTGTGTTCAAATATCCAAATACTAATAAATCAACACAATGCATCATATACAGAATCCGAACGTAAAGTAATTACATCTTTCTAAAAGATCCTTTAGTTCCTTATAAACGGCTTTCGGCATCCATCGGATTATCGAAATACCATCGTTCTCGATTATAGTTTGTAACTTTGTTTTATTTTCTATGTATATGATGAACCTTTGTCTCGATAACGGGGCAGATTGCCTCGAAAGTTTGACAATATTTTGTGTCATGATAACGGGACAGATTACCTCGAAAATTGATTACTCTGTACTACAGTAATTACTTCAATTACTTCATTTGTTCTTATACCAATACTGGGCCATACTGTCGAAATTACTTACTAGATTATATATTTATAATGAGCTTGTCAATGTGTACCGGTCTGAGTTAGCCATCTATCTATATAAACACACAGCATGCTTTTAGAAATTATTTTAAACAGGCGTGGCTTAGTAGTCATTTAATGTGGTTATGCTGTAACTACAAGGCAGTGAAGTAGATGCTTATGTTTGTGCATCTATTACACAATAGTACTTTCTGTTTAGTCTATCATCATATGCTATATATCAAGATTTGACGTACATAGGGGTCAGATCCGGTCAAGGTTAGGGATCAATGCATATAGGAAAACATGTTATCATAGCCTTTGTTATTAGTCCTCTTCCACCGATACTATCACAATTAACTCAAGTTTCACGTCTTGACAAATGCATTTTTTCTCTCGCCAAAACTGATCCAAGACAAACCAATATCGCAAAAACAAAATGTGTTTGTTTTCGAACAATTAAGTTATCTATCAACTTGACTTTAACTATTGAAATACCAGAAAATTGTGATCGCTGTGCGAAGAAAAACAGTAGTAAATATTACATACCAAATCGGATGTCACGAAGACAATGAAAAAACACTAATATTCTAAAAAAACAATTTGTATACACTGTCGATATTTAGATCAGGCCATTCATTATAGATATATATAAACATATCCTTTTTCCAGGTTAAGGCAACACTTTATCTAAAGATGCACACAGTTGTTTTCCACATCTGTAATTATAGTCGATCTATTGTGTATTAAAAGATTACTGTAGAGAAAAACTAGACCGCTTTCTATGGCTCTCTGAAAATAATTGGAACTAATATTGTAACATGCCATATCTTACACTCCTGATACAACCTTTGACAGATTATCATATAAAGACATGTCTGTAGTAAATTGTAAGCTGTATAAGCTTTCACTTAATACTTTTGAGATGTGTCAGTTAAATGAAATGGCTCCGGGCTGTAGACATCACTGACGAGCTATGTAAAACCGCTATACCATAGTGTTTTTTTTTATTAATCTGATAAAACATTTGGATTGAGCATGCCGTCTTAACCACTAAATAGTTCCAAATATTCTGTAAAGGTGCATGTTATAATCTATTTTACAGTAGTGAGATGTTTAATGAAGTGTAACTAAAATAATTGTAAGGTTACTTTTTAGAAATATTGAATCCATTTATCATTTGGAGACAGAAAGTTAAAGTTTAGTCATGGACTGGAAGGGAATGTACAATCCTTATCACATATAATTATGAAGAAATCGTTTTCGGATTCGCGTGGCAAAGGAAAATCAACGCCAGTATTCTGCAGGTAAACGCCTAAATCTGATCATACAAGACATATTCTAGTGTTATAAATAGATAATGTATATAGCGCTGCTGATATTAAACTACACACGCCCTGTTGTACATGTGTATACATATGTTTCCATGAACATACATTGTTTCATTGCAGACCATTGCTATAGCTTCAGATATATCAAACAGCTGGGCAGGTTTAAAATTCGCTCCGTTGCATCTAACTCTAAATCTGTATTAAAAGATGATATTCACTTGTGTGTCTCTTGTACAATCTTCATCGTTCTGAAACATTTTTTAGGAATTCAAGATATACAAATGTTGTACAAAAACCACTATGTTGAATAACACCTTTCAGTACAAAGTAGAAACTAAATCCTGTAATGCCAAATAATTAATTGAACGGCATCATGCAGCTATTTCGTCCCTCTAGGACCGGTCAGTGATGCTAAGGCCCTACATTTTAAGACCTGAAAGGCTAATGAGGAAAATCGAAAGAAATGTCAAAATCTAGATTAGGATGTACACTAGCCCCTTAATTCAATAAATTTCAAACTTTTCGTGTATCTGATAAACTCGAAAGAACGTCAAGTAAATGTTTATATGTGTGTATAACATCGGAAGATTGTTATACATTAAACATTCTAAGTCTAATTTATTTTCCAACATTAAAATCTAGGTGTATTTTCAAAGCATCCTTGACCAGTAAGAGTTTCATTCTACACACATTCTAAAACGTGTTCATTATTTTACGACTTATACATAACATCCCAAATACAGGACATTATAGCACTAATATTATGATTTATCTCCCATAACTTCACTAAATGCCTCAACATAATTATCACCATTACGAAACGTTAAGTCAAATCCATAAATACTACAATCCAGACCTACTCCAGGCTAGAATTGATAATAAGGTAATTATCAGGGCACATCTGTGACGAAGTTCGTCAACAAAATATTTAAAGCTCATATCAATCATTCAGCCTTTTCGACCTTCTATAACTCATCAGTAATATTAACTAGCACGTGGCTAAAGTATGAAAATGTAAAGAAAAGGTAGGATAATTCAAATCGGCCTAAACAAATGTTTAAGTAAAGATACGCAGGTGAAATCTCCCCATCTTTGATATCAAAGATTAAAAATTATTGAAAGAACGTACAAGTGCATATTCTGAGCTGTACTACAAAATACAACTATTCCGAGATCGCTGAGCCATGAACTCGGGGTTTTGTCTGTTGGTTTCGTTGTTTCAGGCCTTGTTCTCATTTGTAAGCATGATATTAACTTACTCGGATAGACAAAGATTTACATAGCAGGTGTCGTTGATAAAGCAGAAGACACTCACCTCTCCAGGATATTATGATAGTGTTGACATATTGGTATTTTCTTTTACAATGCAAACATAAGTAACTAGATGATTCAATGTTAATGGTAATTAAAAGGTAATGACAATACAATAACAAAATAAAAGTCTCAGTCGCAACTGTTACTGCAGTATTAACATAAAAGTGCGCCATTAATGTCACCTTTAATGTAGAGACGGGAGACAGTTCAGAAGAATAATAGAATATATATGTTAAATAGGATGAAATGATTTGAAGAAAGACTTTTTTATCACAACCAGTAGGAAAATGATGTGAGACGTTTCGATGATCACAGTTTCACCTCGATCAGAAGAATGTCTGGCGTGAAGTTTGTTATCACTGCGGTTAACAGTGTACAAGATAAATATAAATCGACATGTTTTAATTCTATGCACATTAAGCTAGACAAGGTTACGGAAGATTAGGATAAAGAAGTCTAGCTTCAACTTCCAATCTTGACATCCCTTACACCCAAATGTGTACGAACTTTGCACAGTAAATGTGATATCATTGTCATAGAACATACATTGCCAGATTTTGAGACATGGTTGTTATGTCATTTATTGTTTATTTTGTTCTATAAGCGAGCATGTTACCTGTAACTTTCCTATATGTTACCTGTTGATATCTTATAAGTTATTAACGTTTTGGACGGTCACTTACAAGACAACTAAATGTAACTCGAGATCCTTTGGTCTCTCTACAGAACAGTATAAAAAAGTATACTAATATACACTAGTTCTAAAAGAACAGGTCTAATGAAAACTTTACAGGGTCAAAATGACAACATAATTAATGAATGTATTAAATCCAATTTTCTCCAAGAACAGGAAAGTGTGTAGTGTGCCAGCTGTTACAAAATGCACTAAGAAAATCATACACATGTACACAAATATTTTCTCATTATTCTTACGGTGACAGTTCAATGGAGAAATACAACCCTTTTGTCACATTTTGACTACATCCTAATTCGTTACGATATTACATCACTTAAAACTCAAATACATTAGTTGAAAATATAGACTGTGGAAGGACACGTCCATCTTTACTGTTGTTGGACATGGAAAAATTAAATTCACAGAAATAGATCATCAATTAATGCTGCTTTCGCTATGTTCTTGTCACCATTTCGTCGCGATCGTTTTCCAGCTTAGTGTATTATAGTACAACCGAAAAGTTCTGTCGATTCATCAATGTATATAATAAGGACATTGATCATTTATATTCTTACCTGTCTGTTTTATATAAAAAACTTGAAATTTCACTTCGTACTAACAAGAAAATATGTGATATGTAATTCACGTGTATGTTGTACAGTCTTATGAAGTATATAACAACGTACAGTTTAGTGCCAACACAATGTCTGTATCTCAAATGGAATTTTCAGCATTAATAAATTGAAACTGCAATTTATAAATAAGTTCAGATTTCATATGCTAATGGATATGTCATATTCTCCAAAACGTTTCTTGAATTCATTTTTCATTTCTATATATTTCAGGTTCAGATCCCCGAATTTTATTTTCGCTTCGCTTGTGTTTGGTTTGTCATCTATAATAATTTATCTGTTTTGGATTTACTCAAGCCTGAACCACGCCCGTATTGAATATGTGAAGCCTGTGATGAATCATGTTGTGATACCTTTGGTGAAACCTTTGGTGAAACCTGTAGAAACAAGAATACAAGTACATTACTACAACCGTCCTCCATGGATTCCCATGGACATATTCGCTGGTTGTGAAAGCAAGTGTTATCTGACAGCAGGCGAAAGCAAATCATACGCTAAAAGTGATGTTGTTATATTCCATACCCCGTACGTTATTGAAAGACATCCCCCAAAGAAAATGGGACAAATATGGGTGTTTCATTCGTTGGAACCGCCATGGATTCATTGGATTAAATTTAAAAAATGGAAAAATGTGTTTAATTGGACAATGAGTTATAGAAGGGATGCCGATATAACAAATACATATGGTATATTTAGTAAACGATCAGATGATAAATTTACGCTGGAAAAGGAAACAAAGGACTTATACAAAAAGTGGCAGAATAAATCAAAAGATTTTGTGTGGATGGTATCTAATTGCAAAACAAAAGGGAAACGGGATTTATATGTTCAGAAATTGCGAAAACTGACAGCAGTGGATGTTTATGGCAAGTGTGGTACAGAGAAATGTCCAAGGAAAGACACTGCGAAATGTTTAAATCTTTACAGATATTATTTATCTTTCGAAAGCGAATTATGTGAAGATTATATTACAGAGAAAAGTTTCAAACTTTACGATCCTGAGGTTATGACATTACCAATAGTAAGAAGTGGATCAAACCTGTCCATGTTCCTTCCTCCTGGATCATATATAGATACCTCTAAATTTCAACATATACCGGATCTAGTGAAATCCGTTAAAGCTTTGTCAAATGATAAAACAAAATTCCAAAAATATATTCATTGGAGAACACACTACAGGATTAATAACAATACAACCCATTCTATTGCATTCTGTGAACTTTGCCGTCGACTTCACTTGAAAGATATACATAAATACCAACGACTGTATACCGATATCGGGGAATGGCTTCGAGGAGACAAATATGGACGAAAGTCTTGTAAATCAGCAGCAGATCTGAACTAAACAGAAATGTCCCATTGAACTTTTTGTTGTTCTTGTTTCGTATTCGTCGTCGTCGTCGATGCCGTCGTCGTTGATAATGTTGTATAATGGTAAAAAATAAAGAATTATGATTGTATTTAATACATTCAGAATCGCTTTCCATTCTCTCTCCTTATGAAAAAAAATGATGCAGTTTGAGTCATAACTTGGCTCTACTGTATCTTATTCTTAATTGGTATTGAAATGTATTTTTTTCATTTGTTAGTTTCTTGTACAATTTTTATAATACAAATAGGCGAAACAAAAAATAATTTGAATTATATTGGTAATTTGTTCGTGTCAATATTGATTGTCAACAGACAATTGAAATTGACAAGAACAGAAGTCTTAAATCTCCTGATGGCTGTATAACAATTGCTGCCGTCCATGGAAAAATGAAAGTGATGTTTAGGGATGATAGAAACCAAGCAAGAAAAATACCGACAAAACAAAAGAACCTTAATTCAAACCAACATTCAATAATACTAGGAAAAAAATATTTACACGAAGACTCCTGAAAATGTACAAGGAGAATAATAAGGTGTTATGGTTCATCACTGACACATGCCATCTCGATCTTGGTCAATCCAAGTTTTATTACTTGCCTAAATGAGGACAAGGTAAACAACGACGGAACCACTAGTCATTCTAACAAACCAGTCAAACAACATAACGCAAAAGAAAATAGACTATTTCCCAATGCGATCGTTATGGTGACCGTAAAACTCCCCCGTTATTGCCGCCATGGTGCACGGATATCATGATATGATATAGGGAACACGCCCTTGAATATCGAAACAACTATGACTGGTAAATACCTTAGGTTTGAAATAAAAGAATGTTGTTATTCAGAAATGGAAAGTTCAAATCAGAAATCATCGCGCTTATCATACATCTTGATGGAAAGCTATCCATGCTGGTTTCGTTGTAGGAAAAAAATGAGGTATGCGACTGATGTAGAAGAGTCAGTCATGTCTTTCATTTTCAATTCTGATTGGTATATACAATGTCAATGGTCAATGCATCTCTTATCATTTTAAGACAAGAGTTCATTAATATATCTGTCAGTGAAAATGAAGGACAGCATAAGTCTATGTGACCTAATTTGATTAGCTCCTCGATAAATTCAGCATCGTATGAAAACAAAAACAAAACTTGTTATTAATTCCCGTCCAAGGAAATACACTTTTAATCATGCGTGTCCTACAGCATATCCTACATACAATACTTAACATGTGATGTGAAACACAGGGCACTTTGAACAACATTGTTAATTAGGTATAATATGGCTGTTTACAGAGCAAACTTTATTGCGGAGATATATTTTTTGAAGGGGGGTGGGGGGTGGGGGGCGGTTGTTGTTGTTGTTATGTTTTGTTCTTTTTTTTTTTTTTTTTTTGTTTGATTTTTATTTATTTATTTATTTTTTTTTTTTTTTTTTTGTTGTTACTAATCTGAAAGTATGTGTAATTCATCAATGTTGATGTATATTGAAATTGTAATTCAGAAATGTCATGCTCATTATAACGGTTTCTCCCGTTCAAATATTTCCGTTTACTAAAGAGTATTTTGATATCGTTTATTGTACGTACCACTCATAACGACAAAGCACAATAAAGGCACATATGCCTTAAAACTCAAAGTAATTAAAGCAATACAAACAACTGGCTTACCAGTCGTTTTCATAGCTAAATTATCGTATCTAAATCGGTTTTGTCAGAAGACATAATCCGGAACCTTTCTCGTTTTAGCGAAAACCTATGATGACTGGTATTTTAAACGGCACAATATAATTATTACGACAAATAATTTGCTGTTTACACTAAGGTGTACATCAGTGTAAACACAGGACAGACAGCAATCAGTTTACTTGGTGAAGATCAGCGTCCCTCCTTAATCCTTTCTATAAACTCGTGAATCATCCATCTACACAACTCTTTGTGAAACCTTATTTCACTTTCCTGAACAATCTTCACTGACGGAGAGGGAAATATTACTAGGTTAACAACAAATGTTAGTAAGGGAACAACGAATGTCACTACGGGAACAACAAATGTTACTAGGGGAACAACAAATGACATGTGCTTATATTACATTCATTCAAGGAAAATGTCATCTAAGCCACAAGCAAGAATTATGACGACGTTCCAAATTGTTATCAGGTAACATATAAATTATGTCAATTTACTTTTGAAAATACATAACCATTCAAATATGACCAAAAAAGATTCAAATCCATCATTTGTTTATTTATTTACATAAAAATGTTATCCATTAGTATTTTTTCGTTTGCAAATACGGACTCGTGTTCATCTATGAAAAAAAAACACAAAAGTTTTGGATAGTAACAATACCAGAACATCAGGAGTGGGTGGTGTTAACATCATATTGCAGTTCTCAAGTTGGTTTCTTTTTTTAGTTTTGTTATATTTGTTATAAACAATCTATAAGAGAACAAATCAAGACAAAGGGTCTTAGAGATTTTCTAAGAGTTATCTCTTTTTCTATGAAGCTTGAACTCGTTTAGTAAACGCAAATGTCGTTCCTTTGAATTTCATATTAACATTCCACCCACATCAAATGAGGTCCCAAATTTTTCAAAACTTTTAGGGAAAACCTATGAGAAAAATGGACATTATAGTTTTAATTAATGTGCCAGCTTAAGATTTCGCGTTCAAGAATCTCTATAACTAGATATCCTTGCCATTTATGTCCAATTTTGAGACACTGAAAAAACTGATGTTATTGCAATCATATATAATAATAATAATACTTCTTAAGTAATGAGTTGTGTTAAATTACGTATAATGAGTATTGTTCTATACTGGAAATGTTGCCACAATTTCACATCAGATTTGTAGTGTATCGTCATTATCTATTTTACTTATTACGTGATAAAATGTGATGTATTTTTTTTATTATATCTCATTAAGTCAACTATCCCACAAAGTGGTAATCTATCAAAAACTGTTCCTTATTCTTTCATTGCGGTGAGAAGTAATGAACGACATTGATAATAAGCGTAAAAATGTAGCTGATTTCCTGCAGGATCAGAGTCATGGACTAGTTTGTTGAAGTTAAGAATTAAATAGACATATAGGAACAGAACACGGAACATTTTTAGTTTTACCTATTTATAATTTGCTTGTGATGTGAAATCATTTATTTCGTGATAAATGTCTTTATCAAAACAATGTTTCATTGCGAGACATTGTTGTAGTCATCGGCGTTATTTGTTGGCTTCATTAACGTATATTTTCAATCAATTCTAGGTATGGATCCACAGTTTATGTCTTAATCTCAATTCTTTGCGTGGCACTTATGACTGGATTACTCTGTATTGCACCAAACAATGATTCAAAGACATATGAATTACCTCGATATTTAGTGCGACCTATCGTAAAACCAATACGAGTGCACTACCACAATCGTCCGCCATGGATTAATTTAGATATATTTTCCAGTTGTGATCACAAATGTTATCTGACAGCTGGTGGTAGAATTCCAAACAGTGGCGTTACTATATTCCATACACCATACGTAAACGAAAGGCACACTTCAAAGAAAAAAGGACAAATTTGGGTTTTTCACTCAATGGAGCCACCATGGTTACATAGGAGCAAATTTGAAAAATGGAAACTGGAGTTTAATTGGACAATGAGCTACAGAAGAGATTCGGATATTATGATACCATATGGAAAATTTAAAACAAGAGAGGTTGAGCAAAGCACTTGGGATAATGAAACAAATCAGTTAACAGAAAAATGGCAGCAGAAATCTAAACATATAGCATGGATGGTTTCGCACTGTGGAACGCCTGGAAAGCGAGATGAATACGTAAGCATGCTAAACCAGATAACACCAGTCGATATATACGGGAGGTGTGGCAAAAAGAAATGTATTCAATCTAAAACAATGGAGTGTTTAGAACCGTATAAATTTTATCTCTCATTTGAAAACCATTTCTGCGAAGATTACATAACGGAAAAGAGTTTCAAAGTATACAACTCTTTGTTAAGTCCCATACCAATAACACGTGGAGGTTCAAATTATTCCATGTTCCTTCCGCCCGGATCTTTTATAGACGTGTCCAAATTCAGAAATGTTTCCCATCTTGAAAATTACATTAATTCTTTATCACAGAACATTTCAAACGTTATGGAATATATGAGATGGAGAAAACATTATCAGCTTGTTACAGACTACACCCATGCATTCTGTGAACTTTGTCGGAGACTCCATCTGGCTGATCCTCATAAGTACAAACGACTTTATAGGGATATTGGTGACTGGAATCGGGGAGACAAGGATAAAATAAAACGGACAAGTTGCAAGGACCCTCAAGACCTGGTATGAAAAAGATAATTAGTGTCAGTGAACCAAGGCACTAAACGACGAGATATTAAAAAGTACATGTCATTCAAGACATTGGAGTATTGTAAACAACATACTTTGTGTTATTTGAGCATTGTAAACAACATATCGGTTCTTAAACAGACAATGATATGAAAAAAAAGGTTTTTAAACGTCTCTTTGTTCTTTATGTGTGTAATCATTTTCATCATCATCATCATCTGTCATTCTTCGTGATCATCATCATCATCATCATCATCATCATCATCATCATCATCATCATCATCCATCAGACATTCTTCATTATCATCATCTTCATCATTATCCATCTGTCATCCATCATCATCATCATCATCATCATCATCATCATCATCATCATCATCATCATCATCATCATCATCATCATCATCATCTTCTTCTTCTTCTTCTTCATTATCATCATCATCATCATCATCATCATCATCCATCGGTCATCCTTCGTCGTCGTCGTCATCATCATCATCAACATCTTCTTCTTTTTCTTCACCATCATCATCATCCATCTGTCATCCTTCGTCGTCATCATCATCTTCTTCTTCATCATCATTATCCATCTGTCATCCTTCGTCGTCGTCATCATCATCATTATCATTATTATCCATCTGTCATCTAATTTATCTAAATACAGTATATCGTTTCATAATATTGTTGTTTGAGTGATATTTCTGTTGAAAACTAGTTTGTTTTCCAAAGGAAACATGGGTTCTGAAATCCTGAAATTTTCATCTTGATATTTCAGCAATTGTGAAAAGTAATATATTTATCAATATTTTCTACATTTTGCGTGATGCTAATTATGTACAATATCAAATTTATCATGTTTCACAAAATGAGATTTCCAGGTTCTGAAAATTGTTCCATACTGAATTTAATTCCAGAAAATGTTTCAACTTCCATATCCAAACTTAAAAGTTCCCCTAAACTGGTTTCGCCCCCATGGTTCAAAAGGTTCCCATGGGGGCACACCTTTGATACCCACAATGCATCTGAATAATGATAGCCTGTATCGTAAAACTGTTTTGTCCTTTTAGGGCTGGTCAGTAAGGTAAATGGCCTTCATCATGACGCTTACTTGTAGAAGACTGAGGAATTAAAGATTGATTGAAAACAAGAGGCCCATGGGCCTTAACGGTCATCTGACAAAAAGCAAGCCAAACCTAGAAAGTGGGTTGAGGTCATTCATTTGAACAAACTTGGTAGCCTCTCCTCCAAGCATCTTACAGGCCCAATATCAGCACTCATGGACTTTTGCTTGTTGAGAAGAAGTCGTTTGTATATTTTAACATATTTGACCCCTGTGACCTTGAAAGTGGGTTGAGGTCATCATTTGAATAAACTTGGTAGCCTTTCCTCCCAGCATGCTACAGACCCAATATCGGCACTCATAGACTTTTGCTTATTGAGATGAAGTCCTTTGTATATTTTAACATATTTGACCCCTGTGACCTTGAAAGGTCATTCATTTGAACAAACTTTGTAGGGCTCCATGCCAGCATGCTATGGGCCAAGTATTAGCCCCCTAAGCCTTCTAGTATTTGAGAAGAAGTTATTTAAAGATTTTGACATATTTGACGACCTTGAAAGTTGTTCAAGGTCATTCATTTAAATAAACTTGGTAGCCTTTCCTCCCAGCATGCTACAGACCCAATATCGGCACTCATAGACTTTTGCTTATTGAGATGAAGTCCTTTGTATATTTTAACATATTTGACCCCTGTGACCTTGAAAGTGGGCCAAGGTCATTCATTTGAACAAACTTTGTAGGGCTCCATGCCAGCATGCTATGGGCCAAGTATTAGCCCCCTAGGCCTTCTAGTATTTGAGAAGAAGTTATTTAAAGATTTTCCACCCCTGTGACCTTGAAAGTTGTTCAAGGTCATTCATTTAAACAAACTTGATAGCCCTTCATCCCAGCATGCCACAGGCACAATATCAGCAATCTGAGCCTTTTGGTTATTGAGAAGAAGTTGTTTAAAGATTTTAACATATTTGACCCCTGTGACCTTTAAAGTGGGTCAAGGTCATTCATTTGAACAAACTTGGTAGTCCTTCATCCCAGCATGTCACAGGCCCAATATCTACACTGAGCCTTTTGGTTAATGAGAAGAAGTTGTTTAAAGATTTTAACATATTTGACCCCTGTGACCTTTAAAGTGGGTCAAGGTCATTCATTTGAACAAACTTGGTAGAATGCCAGTATCCTCTGTGCCAAGTATTAGCCCCCTAGACCTTCTAGTATTTGAGAAGAAGTCGTTTGAATGAAAAGTTTACGGACGGCGCACGGCGCACGACGACGGACGAAGCATGATCACCTTCGGGTCAGATGACCTAAAAATGTCGTAAATTAGATTGGGAGGTGCAATAGCCACAAAATTCAATAGATTATCCACCTTATCTACCATGATCTGTCCCTCTGGAGGACCAGACCATCCGTAAATACTTCAATGGAATCCTACCACCAAACATGCTTTGGACGAAATCCGTTCTGAGAAGGGCTTTGACAGTGTACTTAAAAAAATACTCAAGAATTGATTCGGACCATTTTTACGTTTGTGCGGGTTTTTTTCGACAATAATGCGGAAAAGTATATATGACCTATATGATAATTTAGAAGAGGCGATACAATACAGGGATTGTAATACAAGTGAAAATGACACAACATATTGTTAAAGATGAGCTTTCACATTGTATGAGATATATCATGTAGTATATAAGATGTCTTTATATAATATAAGAGAGTTCATGTAGAAAATTAAGACATCTTAAATAATATATACGATATTCTATTCATACAGCAAATACGATACATTTTATATCATCTGGGGCAACTACTAAATAAGCTATACATCATATAAGAAATATCAATTGATATTCTATATATACTATACACTTCATATAACATCTTACATGAGATTCCGTTTCATATGTCGCAATGATGTCATCTGTGTGTTGCGTCATTTCGTAATCTAAAGTGACGTCACAATAAGCTATCCAGTAGAGTGTAACAACCGATCACTACACACTGCACCATTGACAAGACAACAGAAACTTTTTACTATGATGTTTGTTGTTGTACCTCTTGTATAACATGACTTGAGAAAAAAATCTGTCAACAAGATCAGTATAGTGATTTCTTTCGCAAACAGATACTTCTTAAGTATTGTATTCTCTTGTTTTTGGTCACAGCTTGTTAGCTGCAGGTATCGCAAGAACCGATCCTAGAGATTAGGTGATCATTGAAAATCCATTAAATGTTTGAAAAACATGGTATTAGATAAGCCTTTTTGGCCGATCAATGGCCTGTACGAGCATCAATGGTGCTGGTTATCGACAGGAGGTCATCAGTTACGTCATTTGTCCTTCAACCCGTAGGTTAGTCACAACGGCGTAGGAGGGCGGTGTAGTTACCATTGCGTCATATTAGTGGAAAATCTAAAATAGTGAAAAATCCTCTAATATGCGCTTTGATTACAAGACAATCGTGTGCTAAAATTGAAAGTTGATTTTATCTGGATCTTCTGGGGCGAAAACATGAATAATATTACCATACTCAACCCTCAGTTTGATTTGGTCTTCCACATTTTTACATGAAACACTAAACCATATCAAAATGTACCTTTTCTTAGCTTTGTGATATTTATTTATCTATTTTTCGGAAACCCATCTGGAAGTTACTTATTTTTGCTCACCAAGACTCGCAAAAATAAATCCTCATTTCATAAAATTTTGTATGCATATATCAGCGTAGAGAACAAGCAAACAACGATAGGTACTGAAGGAACACAATGGGGTATAGAATAAGCACATACAACCTAATGGGCAGGACAATTGTTAAGTAATGTTGAAACAAACATACAACAAATGTAATTATACAACAGCTATACGTAGAGGAGTTAATGTCATATCACATTAAAACAAAAAAAACCGTTGGTGATATGTTATGTACTTTTGCACATTTCTATGTAATGTAGTGACACATTTTCAATTATCAGTTAATCTATACCAATACCGACGTCCATTGATATCTTTAATATTTTAGAGTAGAGTTTTGGAAAAATTGACTGATTATATTCTATTCCCAGCTGCCTGGGTTTATACCGAAATGAAAGCGAACCGTGGTTTAAAATAGTATCTAGATATTTATACAAGATGATTCTCGCAGTGTAGAACTTGGAATATCATCAATTCCGGTTACGATATTCACTATAGGCAATCTTTCACTTCATTTTTAACATTTTGATACTTAATACACTGCAATTAACATTTGAAGCTATTATAATACTTACCTCTAAATGAGTCGTGCTTGATTCGACATATTGACCAGGATCTGAGACAACAGATCTATCGCTTACCATAACTGCATTTGGTAAACGTTTTGGCTCTATATGTGTAACATTGACTTTAAGCTTTCCAATAATCTCTGGAGAACGTATAATTATATCTTGGCTAGTTGGTTGTCACTAGATATAGCTATAAAGACATGTAGAATCAAGCCATTAGGTCGACATTAAATATCGGCTTAATGACATATCTATATAGCAAAGAGCCGGTTTTCCACAACAGATTTAAAAGCTCTCTGAATTGCAAAAAGATTGATAAATAAATAGATAATAAATAAATAAGATATAACAAAGAACAAAATATAAGAAAATGCCTCTACCAGACAGTCATGGAAAGCATGATGCAGAGAAGCGGAATAACATTGAGGTGGAGATGTCGAACATCAAAATCTCCCAATGTCCGGTTAATAGCAATTGAAATTCTCACCGAGTTGCTACTTATTTCACAATGTTTAACAATATTCTTTTCTTTTTTTGATTAGTAATGTTTTACTCATTGCGTATAAATACGTGTTTACACGGTATACCTAGCTATGATAGTCATGTTTTAATACCACATCACCTATGCATGTCATATATAAAGCACTGATGAAGCACATGAAGGCGAATATGTCATATAAATTG